ATCTGGGATTTATTTGTCTTCTATAATTGAAACTTTGTTGCCTTTAGCAGAGGCCACAGCTGGCCAGGGCAGACAGGAAGCTTGGCTTCCTCCATTGCCGGGGCAACCAAGCCTCCTGCTTGCTCTAGCTCCGTGGCTGCCCGCCGCCATCTTGGTTGGGTTGATTTGCATATAGTTGCTCTGAAGGGCTGCTGGGCGTGGCTTGGGGCATAGCAAGGTATGGTCAATTTGCATGTTTCTTTTTTATTAGATTAGATAATTAAAAATGACATTAATTAGTGCTTGTAAATGTGAATTTTATAATTAAACTTACTGATTTATATATCATAGAAAAGTATAAAACAACTCTCTATTAAATAAAGATTTGTTTACATTTGTTAAGTAGGTAGAGCAGCAGGCACTAATCTGGACATTTCTAATCAGCATGCAGGGGATTGAGAACAGACTTCCTGGATGAACGATGAGGAGGCTTTATCTAGACAGTGTTATAAAGGAGGGCACAATGTATCCTGATCCTTGATGTGGACCCATTTTAATTTTTACCTAAAGAACTAAAATTGATGTCATTTTTTAGAATTATGCTGAGTCACAAAATTTATTAGTCTTTTTGTGTGCCTACCATGTTTCAGAAAACATTTCAAGCAAATTAATGTTTATTAGAAATGAGTTACCATAAAAGCCTGTTAAGTGTTATTCCTTAATATACTTACTTACTTTGCTTTAGTGCCTTTAGTGTATATCAAATCCTTGAACATTTACAAAGACATATATAAATGATTATAGAGATCATACTTTCTTAATGAAATAAATTTGAGAGAACTTGCCCATATTTATGGAAAAGCGTACTCTATAGGGAAATTATGAGGGTAGGGTACAAGGGTTCTAATCTCAGCTTTGGCAGCATCCAGATTTTTTGTGACCTTGATGGAAGTGTCAGTAAACATCACTAAGTCTTTTATTCCTCACTGGTAAAATGAGAATAAAAATTCTTTCCCTACCTATCTCACAGTGATCTTGTGATAATTAATTGAAATTAAATATTTGAAAATTTCTGAAAAATCTATTTAGATAGAGATATATATAAATGCATATATTTAGTGCATATAATCTGTTTTGTTAATATTTTATATTATCTTATTATGAAATACTAAAATCAATAGAAAAAATCAGAGTAATATAACTGATGCCATGCACCCAATACTTAACTTTAACATACTGTAAAATTTTGCCATTATTTTTATGACATAAAATATTACATATACAAGTTGTACTACATCATAATTCCATTCTCTTCCTTATTTCCCTAGAAATTCCACAGTATCTTATACATTCATGAATGCATAAAATACTGAGGAATTTGAAATTGTAATAATTTGATCATGTTCAATTTAGTCTTCCTACTCAACTTCCACAGTTTTTATACATCCAACAATTTTACTCCAAGAATGAGTATATCCTTTCTGATGGCTTTTAACAGAAGAGCACACCAATCACATAGATTTCCAGAAACATTATATGTAGGTATTGTCATGAAAACCTAAAGTTAGACTCTATTTGCCTTGTTTTTGTTCCCTTTCTAGTTGTTAGTTGATGCCAAACAAACAAAAAAAGAAGACATTCTTTTAAATGCATTTGCACAGTTACAAAGATAGTTCATTGAAAATATTCATTTTTCATTTTTCTTTGAGATAGATAAACTAAGAACAAAAACAACTTTATAACTCGATTAAAGTTGCAATTCTGGATGACAAATATGAATATTTACCGCAATGCGAATAAGGTTAATATTTTAAAACAAGGTTGACAGGAGAAAAATGGTCTTAGTTTGCAAAAAGGAAATTTGTTTCTTAAAGTGAAAATTGAGGTCAGTAGGCCATAGCTCTCCTTCCTCCTACATGACTGAAATGAATTAAATAATGCAGCAATAAAGCAGTACTGAGCGAACCAATAAAATTATACATGAAAGCTTGAGTAAAATTATTATATGTTAGAAACATGTATTTTGTATAAGAAAACATAAAATTTTAAATGCATGTCTACTTCATTTTGATTATCTTAGGATAGAAAAACTGAGTCCTATTCTCTTGTGTTTACTAGGATCTCATGGTCCTTTTTCAGGGAGCAAGGATAATAACCATTGTTTGGACATATTTCAGTCTTGGTTACTGCATTCTGTTTACTTACTGTGATTTCAATGTGACTGGGTTGAATAGTTACATGTAAAGTGAACATCTTTATATGACACTTAAACAATTGTCTGATTCACATAAATTATTTAATCAGAGTGATTTTCATTTCAACTTTTCACTCTCTAGTCCCTTTTGTCAAGTTATATAATATAAACATGATCTGACTTGTAATATCCTCACTAGGCTATATTTATTTATGATGGCCCTATTTTTAACACCACAAGGGGCAGAAAATATGTTCTAGCTATGTGAAAATACTAATTTTATCCTGTTACTCTCTTCATACATATATTGGTTCTAAGAACATGGGAAATAAAAACAGCACAACTGTTACCTGGTGATCTTTACAAGAAAATTCTTTGATGATAAGTGATTATGATATCAATAAACTGAACTGAAAACAATGTTAAATTTCCAATATGATAGAGCCAATGTACAGAAAGAGACAGAGGTAGTCTGAATATTCCTTTTTCTCTCTTTCCACATTATATATGTTTCTCTCTAATAATGACATATTTTGTTGGCATTAATACGAAGTAACATGGATTGCATGTGTTAGTAGAGTTCTTTTAATTATTGTGTAAAAATGATATGTAATTGAAACAAAAAGCATTGTTTCTAGTCCTAATTTTTTTTCCTTACGTCCATCCTGTCAAGCTGAAAGCGTGAACGTTATTTTCTGGCGGTGTGATTAGATTGGGGCTGAACTCTCCAGCTGGCAGGCCTGTCTATGACTGGCGGCGGCTGTCCCCAGTGCTTGTCATTTCCTGACATGCCTGACAGGATGGGGACAGCCGCCCCAGACAGGTTCATTAGATGGTGTTTTCTACAGCTGAGCTAAAAATAAGTAAGTAAATAAATAAATAAATAAATACATACATACATACATACATACATACATAAATAATCTGTGCCTTGTCAAGGTCCAAGCTGCAGGGGTACTTCTTGTTGGTTTAAACCAGGGCCTTGTTTTGACAAATTTTGATCTGTGCAGTTTTTAGATTTTCCTGACACATTTTTGTTTCCTTCCCCTTTGACCTACACTTTGTGCACGCCTTTGTTGCTGCTTCAAAATCCTAAGATAATCTTCCCAAGAGAAAAAGAACCACAGGTATTGAAATCTTAAAAGGAAAAACAGTGCAATGCTCTATAAAATAGCATTAGCTCATTTATTGCCATGGTGATCTGCACAGTGGTAGGAAAACAACTTTGAGACTTGTAACAAGCCAATTACAAGAAAGTTAAGAGTTTTTGTAGTGCCAGAAATGTGCCATCTATAGAGAACATAGTATCAGTACCAGCAGTCTACACTCTGAAGTGCATCACTCCTTAGAACTGTCAGAAATGGGCAGTTCTAAATATCTGCATTCTTGGGCTTTGAGGAAGCTGATAGAGTTTTCCACCTGCATTTATAGGCTTTGATGTCAGGAAGAAAAATTATAGAAGAATATAGAATACATACTAACTAAAACCAGATATAAATTTCAAAATCAAATTTAGGGAAATATGTTTCTTAGTCAGTTATAGGACCCCTTTTAAAGTTAACTGGATTTGCTAAAAATTGGTGTGCAATTGAAACATACATGCATACAGAGTCATGATTTATCATTTTCAAGCCCAAATTTAAACTTCTAAAGCTGTGCTATTGAAAAGAAAAATAAAATCTTTATCCAAGAGATTATTCTTTCTTTAGTTACAGACTTGCTAGCTATAGTCTACCTTCATAGTCTGTGATAGCTGTTTTCCAGTGGGAGAAACATTTGATCTTAATTTTTACTAAGTAGATCATGCCCAGATAGAAAGCATTTGACCATATATGTTGACAGAAACTTAGTGCAACTGTTGGCTATCTTTTCATTCGCATGCAAGATACAAATGTAATACTATTTGCATCTCTTCTACTTTTCATTGGTGTAATAAACAGTGTTGCTGAAAAAAAAGCAAGGTCCTCATTCACAGAAATCTTAGCCCTTACCTTTCCTTTGTATTGTTAGCTTCTGCCATTCACCGTCTCTATGACAACTGTTTAAATTGGGATGGGCAACTGTCATCTGGAGTATTACTGAGGGAAAAGTGTTAGCGAGCACACAGTTCCCATAGATGGAGCATTTCAATATAATCCAATTTTAATTGAGCTCCAGAGACTTTGATGTGCTACAGAAGGTTGGGCAAGAGCTATTCCAGGGAGAAATTAAAGCAGCCCAGCAAGACTTCTCTCCTTCAGACTGTCACCATTTTAAGTAAGCATTAGCATCAGACTTAACCTGCCCCTGTGGAACATCTCACTTCTTTTTTCAGCTTTTCACTGATTTATTTTGCTATATATAAAAGCAAAGCACTTTCATCTTTTTAATATATGTTTTTACACCCATTTGATTAGGCTTGCAAAGCTTGTACTGGACCTGCGATCCATCTAATGCTGTCTATTGAACTTGGCTTTGGCAGTTCACAAAAGAAAAGGAAAGTAGAGTGGGTATTAGTTTTAAGTTGTCAGTTATCATATATTTAACTTTCTTTTCAATATCACTTTGTAAAACCATATTTGGAGCTAAAAAGTTGAAGGATGTGGAATTTTTATCTAGCTTTGAGTTATCCTTGAATTTAATTTTAATGCTTGGCTGCTTAGGCATTTATTAGAGGCTGGGATTTTTATTTCAAAATGCACTAAAGTATCTTTTCCTCATCACATGAAAAAAAAATACCTTTAGGCAAAGCTAGTTTAGAGCAACTGGACACAGGCACATCAGTCCTTAATGGTGAAAGCATTAAACTTCTTTTTCTTTTTTTTAATGAGAAGGGAAGTGGATATTTTTTCATGTATATTCAAAGATCTTTTAAATGATTTGAAATATAATGTTGAACATACATAGGTATTTCAGTAATCATAAAAATGACTTAAGAACACAATGTTAATTAAAATAATTAAATGAACACTAAATATAATGCTTGTGCTATCAGAAAACTTTGTTATAAGTATGGTAAACTTAATGAAGTTACTACCTGTTCATGATATACCTGAGATTTCTGATCTGTATTGGCACATTTCAAAAAATAAATTTAAAATACATGTTGAGAAATTAAGTAAAATTTTGACAGTAATTAGAAATTAGTTTACTGTATATATCATCCTGAATAGATTTGCTATAGACCTAAGTGAGCTTCGGCATCAGCGCCGCTTGCTTCAAAGGCCTCGAGAGAGATGGACATTGCCAAGAATTGTATAGTGGTCTCAGTTTACTCAATCGCCTTTAACGACCTCAGAAGACAACCTCAATTTCTAAGGCTGTAGTAGTTGTTGTGATTTTTCTCATTCTAAACAAGTATTCACTTAACATAGGTAATTTTTATTTGTAACTTTGTATTATTTTTCTTTTTAAAAAGCACCCCAAATAATGTAAGCTTATTCTACACTTTATTTAATTACTTTATTGAATACCCAACCCCCTAATGATGGGCATTATTTTTCATTTTTTTTTGTTTTTATAAACCTGCTGCAATGAATAATCTGGTACATACTTCATGTTGCTTTTCTGAGTGTATATTCACAGGATAAATTCCTAAAAATGAAATTGTTGGGTCAAAGGGTATATATTTGAAATTTGGATAGATAATACAAAAATCTCCACAATATAAGTTATACTAATGTATACTCCCACCAAAAATATGGTGTATTTTTTCCTCACAGCAAACTCAGTATTACTCATTAAACTTTTAGATTTTTGCCAGTCTTACAGATAAAAATTGTATCTCCACATAGTTTTAATTCTGCTATGTATGAGGTTAATCATGTTTTCCATCAAGAAAGAACCATTGGCAGTATGTTTTCTGTGATTTACCTGTTTGACTTTTTTAAACAAAATTTTCCTGTATTACAATGTCTACAGGAGGATATTATGGACAATAGTACAGTTTTTCTCATGTATATATTTTTGTGAAATAAATATCATAAGACTTATACTATGTATAATGAAAATTACATATGCATATGTATATCTCCTTTTCTACCTCCTTGCCATCTAGATTAATTTGTTATTCCTCTATTAAATTCCCTCCCAATTTTAGTGACATTAGTTATGAAGATAAGATTTTTTAAAATTAATTTGCCTACCCAGTAAGAATCTCATCTCTGGTATTAAAAATAAATTAACTGCATGACATTATTCAAAATATAATTAGCTAAATATATTAACACTTTGTAATATATTTACTATATAGAATACTATGACACCTGGCTGGTGTGGCTCAGTGGTTGAGCATTGACCCAGGAACCAAGAGGTCACTGGTTCAATTCCTGGTCAAGGTACATGCTTGGGTTGTAGGCTTGATCCCCATTAGGGGGCGTACAGGAGGCAGCTGATTGATGATGTTTCTCTCTCATGGATGCTTCTATCTCTCTATCCCTCTCCCTTCCTCTCTAAAAATCAATAAAAACATATTTTTTTTTAAAAAGAATACTATGCCACAAGGGTCACCTTCATTATAAAATAGTTTGCTGTGCAGATGTTTCTAGTGTACATTTTATTTATTTACTTAAAACATGAATATTGGAGGCACATACACTACCTGTGTGCCAAACATTATGCCAAGTACCAGGGAAGACATTCGGTATTAACATGGAGCTAAAACTGAGACTTATAAGTAACCTTTATATCTGGAGAAATAATATTAAGTTTATTTATACAGTATTATTAGTGGAGAACAAAACATTAATAACAAATTAGATATATTTATTTACTTATATTTTATTCACTGGTTATCATTCCTTTAAAGTAGTCAAGATTGTTTATTGTTGTTAACCCAACTTTCTTGCACAAGTTTATGTTTATATGTGTGACACTGAGCAGAATGATTGCCATATCTGAAGTCTAGACTGAACCTTAATCTTTTTTACAATATTCACTGTCCACCAGTAATCCCAAACCCACACTGGTGCAGAGCACCATTCATCTAGTTACTGGACCCAGAAACTCTTGCAACAGCTTTAATTCCTTTTTTTTATTTACTTCAGCATAAAACAAAACAAAACAAAAACATGCAAGTCCTATTAATTCTATCTCATAAATATACTGTGTTTTCCTCCTTCTTCCTACAACAACTGTCTTAGAGTTCATTCACTTCTATGGGCATAATGCAGATTTTCAATTTAATATCCTCCCAAATACTTCTCACTGCTTACAGAGTTGTGGCTATCCTACTTAGAGTGATCTTTCTAAAAGGGAGATTTAATCTTATAATTTTGCTCACTTTAATGGTCTCAGTGGCCTCACTGTCATCATTAGAGCTACCATTCACTGCAAGCTAAGTTTAAAATCAATCACCCTGTCTTCAGTGAACTTGTCTGGGCAGCCTCTTGTCAATAGAAAGGTGACCTGTGGTACTTATAGTAGAGATACTTGTTAAATACAGTAACCTATTACAATTTTTTCAACAATCCAGTGGAATATAATAATTATATTAACCAAGAATAAAGGCATGGATAGGAAGTGTGAGCTCTATAAAAGGATCTTTGTCTTGATCACCAATGTATTTCCATCACTAGGCACAATTCCTGGAAGCTAGTAGGTGTTGACTGAACTTTTGTTTGGTGAACAAATGATATGTGATGCTAACAGCCTTTGCCTAGGGACAGAGTGCATGCTCATGATGCTGAAATGGAACAGATAAATGGTAAATTTTCAGCAAAGTAGTATTTTGTTGCAAATAGCTTTGTAATCAATGAATATAAAGTAAACAAAAGAAACAAAAAATAGCTTTAGGTCATTACAGTATTACAGAAGAAATTTTTAGGGGGTATCTAACACTGAAAATACTATTTTTAATTGCCAACAAAAGTTGGAAGGTCTCTTTTTACTACCCACCCCCAATTACAGAAATTTATGAAAGACATTCATGTACAAGCAAAGGGCACTTACTGAACTGTTTACATTTAAACTCACTTGCATTTCTTGAAGAGGTGTTAATTATCCTCTAATACAGAAAAATGAGAGAAGTAAAAATATCATAGGAAATTCAGAATATGAATTGTCTCTAACTGAAGCAGTGAGAATTTTTTTTAAAAAAAAATCTTTCTATTGATTTCAGAGAGGAAGGGAAAAGAAGGGTGGGAGGGAGGGAGGGAGAGAGAGGGAGAGAAAGGGAGAGAGAGGGAGAGAGAGAGAGAGAGAATAATTGACTGGCCGCCTCCCTGCACATCCCCCACTGGGGATTGAGCCTGCAACCCAGTCATGTGCCTTTGATCAGAATCGAACCTGGGACCCTTCAGTCCACAGGGCCATGCTCTATCCACTGAGCAAAATGGGCTAGGGCAAGAATTGTTTTATTTTATTTTTTTAAATATACTTTATTGATTTTTTACACAGAGGAAGGGAGAGGGATAGAGAGTTAGAAACATCGATGAGAGAAACATTGATTAGCTGCTTCCTGAACACCCCCTACTGGGGATATGCCCGCAACCAAGGTACATGCCCTTGACCAGAATCGAACCTAGGACCTTTCAGTCCGCAGGCCGACACTCTATCCACTGAGCCAAACCGGTTAGGGCAAGAATTGTTTTAAATTAAACTTCAAACATAGCAGACAGAACTTTCAAAGCCATCTAGTAAGTGGTATATAAGAATAGATTCTGGGAAATACCCGGATTTAGTGAAACCTATGTGAGATCCCAAAGCAGAGTTTGGATCAGAAAACAATGGTCATTGGAAAAGGATCTGGGCTGAGACCACAGGAGGGACTGCCCTTATCACTCCTAATTGAGAGTTTCCCTAAGGTCCCGGTGGGAAAAGGAAGGATTGTGAGTTCATTTACTCAACACATTTATGTAGCAATGCCTTCCTGCCAAGCCAGCCTCTCCACTAGACAATCTATATGTTATTTTACTTCATACAACAACTCTGCAAAGAGTATATAATCATTCTCATTTCATGTAAGTGGAAACTGTATCTCTGTTATGCTACGGAATGTCCCTCAAGTAACACAGCTGGAAGTGGTTGATTCAGACTTTAGGCTGTCTGTCATCCTCTAAAGTCCAAGTTCTTTCTACTCCAGCATGGCTTACAGATATATAAAAACTATCAGAGTCCATAAAACTAACTGTTAATAGAGGACATACTTCTCGGGACATACTGGTAGGATGAGGAAATGTGCTAAGGTAGCACACATACTGTGGTGGGCAAATGTACATTAATATAAGACTCAATCTGAAGGACTTCTTGAAGTCCTACATGAAGTACTTGAGTTTCATAGTAGAGCTGCTCTTTGGGAGACAGTGATTCTAGAGGAGATCTAGCTTTAGGAGGAAGAAAAACAAAATTCTCGTGAACCCTGAGGCCCAGGGGTACTCAAGTTTTCAAGTGAAAATACAAAAACTCTGAACTCATATTATATGAAAACCAGAGGCCCGGTGCACAAAATTTGTGCACTCGTGCGGGGGGCGGGTGGGGGGGAGAGGTCCTTCAGCCCGGCCTGTGCCCTCTCGCAGTCTGGGACCCCTCGGGGGATGACCACCTGCTGGCTTAGGACCGCTCCCTGGGGGATTGGACCTAAGCTGGCAGTCAGACATCCCTATGGCAGCCCGG